GGGGCCGCGCAGCCGTGCCCCGGCCCCGCGCTGTTCCCGGGGAGCCCCGGCCGCTGCCCGCCGGAGCCCGGCCGCTAGCAGCCGCGGCGAGGCATTCCCGGTAGCCGGCAATGGCTGAGGGGCCCCGGCAGCCACACCTCCCTCTCCCCGCGCTTCCCAACCCGGCTCGGCGGGGGATGGCAGGGAGCCAGCTCAGCTACCCCGGCCCACAGCTGCCGGGGACTCCCCTTGCATCAGAGGGATTCCCCGGGGGGGTGCTGTTAGACGGGCTTTACAGGCTCCTCATGCTGGCGGGGAAGGCATTTCGTGGCCAGGCAGCCCTGCCTCTCGCACACGGGTCTCCCCGGCGCTGCCGAACCCCGTGCGCCGGCGCTCCCGGCACCCTTCTATCCCCGCTCCATCCCCGCACAAGTCTGCGCTTCCCTGTCACCGCAGCTGAGGAAAGGGGAGTGAGACTTTCCCATGAGACACATCCACATTCCCGGGTTTGCGCCTGATGGGACTAACAGAGCATTTTTACCTTCTAACGGGGAAGAAGCCACGCTGTCCGGATGCCGTTCCTAGGCTTTGGTTTAGAGTCCTGRAGTGGTTTCACTTCCTCTCTCCCTTGTCCTGCTGTGGAGTTAAGGATGGCTTGGGAGGGTTGCTTGTCCGTCCTGGATATAACAGAGACTGATTACATTTTCTTAGTAAAAATGGAAGATGCAGAGGCAGTTAAGGCTCTGGAGAAGGCAGGGGAGAGCAGTCCCAGGGGATTAGCATCTGGGGGAGTGGGAATAGGCTCGTTTCCCGTCTGTTTCCCTTTGCAGTAATATAGTAGGCCTGAATGAAACTGAACTAGTTGCCAGCAGAAGCTGCTGTGAGCTGTCAGCCAGTCCCTATCCTGCCTGGGTAATGGAGGAGGAAAAGAAAGGACATGAAGGCCTGTCTGCTTGATGTGGTCCATGAAGTGATTCAGTTAATCCAAAATGATTTTCAGCTGCTGGTGAAAATAGGCACCTTTCACACTTTTGGGAGGCCATAGCTAGTCTGGGTGATGAAGCTGTGTCTGAAGCTTGGAAATAAAAGGACAGAGCGAAAGGGCTAGATAGACTTCTACTTATTAAGACTATGGAATGTGTTCCTGGCTCACTTGGACAGCTGGGGATAACTCTAACACTGCTACATGGGGAGAGCATTGCTGGTGGAATAACAAAAGTGTCCTGAAATAAGGAGCTGGTTTGGAACAGATACTGCTTTTGCTTCCCAGTGTGTCCCAAGTAAAACAAAACATACACAGGAAAACATGGTTAAACTGAATTTTGGAATGTTGAGAGCTATTTTTAGAACTTGCAACATAGCTATAGCAACAAAAGTCTATAGAAATAGCTTTAGACAGCTGCCCAGAGCAGGCAGCAGGGGAGACACTCTGCCACAGCACCCGTTGTGGTCCAGTCTGCCTCATGCTCTTCTGGCACCTTTTCCCTGCCCTCGGCATCATGTGGCTCTGAGCAATGGGCCCAGAGCCTGGGTCAGCCCGTTGCCTGTGCACACAGCTGCTCATCATCCCTTCCACGAGAGCTTCCAGGTACTAAGCAGCCACCTTGGCAAGCAGACAACTGCTCCAAATGCAGGTAACACTTCAGTAGCCTTTGATATTCACTAATTTGACCCAACTATACATGTTACATTTAGTAGTCTCTGATGCTGAAATCTGCAACACAGCATATTGCCTCTGCTAGCATTGCCAGCACTGAAAATAAGTCATCACGATCCCAAAGTCATGAGCTTGGTCTAAAAATCATATTGTTAAACATGAAAAGTATTCTTTTGTCTTTGCTACTTTGTGGATTGGGATTCTGTTCCCACTGTTGTTTCCCCAACCATGGCACTGCACTTTTTCTCTCAAGTGAAAGATGAGCTTCTTGCACAGTTACAGAGCTCTGTGACTTGTAGCTGTAGGAAAACAGAGCACAAGTGCTTTTTAAACTTTTTGACCAGTAAAGAATGTATTTACCATTCTTTGTACTGCATTAACTTCAGTATTTCCATTTTATATACCTATACTTCAGGCTTCTCCTGCCACATTAAAATAGCCTTAGCTGAAACAATACACAGCATATGTTTGTATGGGCTGACATTCATCTCTGTGCAGAAGGTCAGCATAAGACATGCATACCATATTGAGTCCTTATTTTGAGATCTGAATTAGGCTTAAGTGAAGGCCTTGTTCAGCTCCTCTGTACGTAGATGAATTCCATTCTTTGTTTAAAATGCCACCAGTCCTGATCCTTCTGGAYGGGAAATTCTCACAGACTTTGAAACTGGGAATGTCACTTGGACCCTATTTCAACATCTAGGTGAAACGTTTACAATGAAATTCAAAACCACGTGAAACTTGACTGGTTTCAGGTTTTGTTACAAACTCTGAACTCAGACCAGACTCTTTGAAAGGTTCACAGACCTTTTCAGCAAATCTAGATTAATAACATTTAACCCAAATGAATTGTGGAAACAAATAAAAATCACAGAAAAGAAAGAACAAGAACATCTAATTTTGCTCCTATGGGATGCTGATGTGATGTAGGTGAACTTTGTAGGCCTAGTAAAGGTGTTTAAGAATTATAATAAAAATAACAGTGTTCTGTGATATATTCTTTAGTGACTTTAAATTAATTAAATGGATTTTATTTGTAAATGAGAACAAGTTTTCAAAATGGCAGACAATGAGTTCTTCTAATGCTGAAATTTGGCAGCATCTGTACTGCCCTTGTGTGCTGGCAGTGCAGACCTCTAGGGCAGGGCCTCCTGCCTGTCTCCCTTCCTCGGTGCTAGGGAATGCCTCCAGACTCCCACTCTCAGACCTCCTGTGGGACAACTGCAGCTATCATTGCCCTCTAGGATCTGCTGCAATAAATGGGCTGTAAGTGCTCTTTTTTTGAGTTTTGGTCATTGGGGCTRTATGAATTATTTTGTTCCTTTCTAAGGAGTGCAATTGTGTAAGAGCTCAGGCAACTCAATCAGCTATTTATACCACCTGGATCCCCACTGAGCAGCTGAGGTGGCTCCAGATCCCACATGGTGGGACTTTTCCAAAACATGTGTGGCATGATAGATCCTCTTGAGCCTCCCTTATCTTCGTCTCTCTCTGACTAGAGTGGTCATCATACAGAACTCCAGTCTCTGCAGCTAAAGGTACACTTGCTGCCTTTTCAGACCACGGTCTTGTGTGTCAGCATGAGTGCAGTGACTGCCTCAGCTAGCTGAAGCTCAGATTCCAAGAGGCAATGACACCTGTGTGACTTAAAGAGCTTATAAATATAGATCAGAAGTAATTGTCTCTGTCCTGCATACAGGCAACTAACATTTAGTTGAACTAATGCCCTGTAAAAGTCTCAGTGAACAATGGGACAATGATAAACACAGAGGAGTAACCCATTCCAAATATTGCTACACGCTACTTCTAGGTTCTTC